CGCCACCGCAAAGCCAGGTACTGCCTGGCTGACCGAACTTCCAACATACCAAAGCGCATGCGCAGTTCAGCGCGCTCATGATAGTTGGCAAAGCATCGTTGCAAAGCCCCAACATCCAAGATTGGGCCTTTGGGCCCCTATCTATTATATACATATTACTCATATATACTAAGACTCACATTTTATCTATATACACACTAAATAAATACATACATACATAGCATATATAATGTGAATATATAATGTGCATATGTATATATATATGGTGTGTATATATATATATAATGTATATATATTGTGTATATATATATGGTATATATATATATAATAACGTATATATGTGTATAATATATATATATATTGGATTTTCCCCAGCATCATGATAGTTAGGGGATCCATTCACACCTCCAGATCCAAGCTCCCCAACTGTACCAGTCCCTGGCACGTTCTGATCGCCCGCTGGCGGCCCGCAGCACGGCCGTGAGGGTGATGGCCTCGCCCAAAGCCGCTAAGCCAACGGCATCTTTTCGAGATGAACGCCATGACAAATTAAATTGCATGATGATTATCATTATTGTCATATTATTGTCATGATTATCATCATTATCACTATTATTATTATCATTATTATCATTATTATCATTATTATCATTATTGTTATTATTATCATTATTATTATATATATCACTATTATCATTATTGCCACTATTGTCATTATTATCATGATTATCATGATTATCATTATTATCATTATTATCATCATTATCACTATGTTCATTATTGTCATTATTGTCAATATTATCATTATTGCCATTATTATTGTTATTATTGTTATTATTATTACTGTTATTATTATTATTATATATTATATATATATGTATATTATTTTGTTGATGATGATGATGATGATCTTAATCACAAGCTTGTCAATAATGATCTTAGTCGTGATCTTAAAAGGATGAGCCTAAGTGTGATCATATCATGATCAAATTCCATACCACCAAATAGATCCAAATAGAAGTGAGTAGGTGGGGTCCGGTCATACTGCTAGGAACCATCTTGTGCAGCCCTTGGCGCTTCCTTGGGCTCCGAACATCAGGTCGAATCCGAGCATCTTGGGCCTTTGCAAACCAGGCTTCCGCAGCCGAGAGATTGCCTGCACCACAAGCGGCGGAGGGGGGGGACAAAGGTTGGTACACGTGCTCTATGATGCTCTATGAACCCACGCCAAATGCTGAGGATTCATTAAGGATAGCAGTTCGACTTACCCGCTACTGACGGCAACACGGATTTGATAGGGACTGTAACTAGTTGTAACCCACCAATATCTGGTAGTTGCCCATGGTTTTCTTCTCAAACATCATCTGAAAGGAAGGTTGCCCCTATTCAGTTAACACCGGAGGATCACCGACCTTGCTTGGCAGCAGCATGTACCAAGCTGTTGAACTCCACTTCGTCCAGCCTTCCGCTCAGAAGTGGCAGGCGGGAACCAACACGTGAGATATGTATGCACCAGTCAACCAACAAGAATGGAGGATTTAACTGGCAAAACTGACAAAAAGTCATCACCATCATCATCATCATCATCGTCATCGTCATCGTCATCCAAGGGAAAAGACATAGAACAAATGAAGCCAGGAACCTGCTTTTGACAACAGCTTTGAAGGTCCACAAATACGTAGTGTCAACCCGGCTTTAATAAACCCCCGCTTCCTCCTGTATCTGAGGAGTCAACTTGTCAGCAAACAGTTGTGCCTCGGAGCTGGGGCCACAAGTCTACCAGGGAACCCCTCGGAATGCCACTGCCCGAGCTACTGTCACTGCTGAGGCAGCTGCCCGATCAAACCACTTTTCCGCACGTTGGAGATCGCCCTCCTGTGCAGCCTGAAGCTGGGAGTTCTGGAACTTACAGTAGTGATACCAAGATATACCAAGTGGACCAAGTGGCAGCCGGTTGCTGGGTCCAGAATTTGAAACAGCAAATCAAAGTGTAATATAGCGTAGATATTTTAAAAATCCTCCGCTTTAGTACTCCGACAAAGCTGATTCGTTTCAGACATGACACCATGGTTGTTGTTGGGGTAGGTGCCCTAGTTAGCAATGGCCACCCCAAACCTGGTCGATAAGTGGGGAGAAAGTCACCACGCTGATGTCCAGCCATTGCCTCACGGCGCAACAACTTGCTGACCGAAGAACCCGCCCACGTTAAAGTCCAATTGGCACTTAGCAGCACCATGCAGCACCTATATAGATGGAGGTTCCCAACATATAAGGTCATGTAAAGGTGTATGCACGGGCATATCCCCCAAAAATCATGCTTTTGATGGCTTCCCTATCACTCCTTCCCTTCTACTCGAAGCACATGATGTTGGGAGAATAGTATATAGTTGGCAAATCATCCACAATACTGCCTTGGACTTGGCTCAAGGATCCTAAACAATCATGGAAACGAAGGTGACTGAACAGCAATAGCAAAGCCCCACCAGAAACCGTCAAACCTGGCCGCGCCTGAAAAAAAAAACTTTCAAAAGCCCAGAAAGATTCCCAAACCCTCAATACATCAGCATCACTCATACATCCCCCCAACTTTCCAAACACTCTCCTTTCCAAACATATCAGTAACATATCCTTCCCTATCCTTTCACCCAACCCCTGCACCGAGGCGCAGCCTCAAGGCCTCTTCCAGGCACTCCTCCGCTCTCGCTTCGTCGCGACGACGGATGGCCTGGTCCAACTGCTGGGACCTGGGAGCATGTCAGGCATAGGCCACTGTATCCCAAAAAAAACGGAGTTTCAACATTCCAGTCTTAAAGTTGCCTCCAGTAAATTTTCACATAAACATAGACCCTGAAAATGGTCAGGTTTTAGTAGAAACTAATCTTCCAAACCCCTATTTGGCAGGGCCGAAGGGCCTAATGATGTTGTAATATGACCTTATATGATGTCATATGAGTCATATGTATATATAGACTTTTGTGTCAAACCAGCTACGAACTAACGTAAGGAATCCTCTTAGCAAAGGAGGATGGTGTGGAGCAACCGGTAATAACCGGTATATATCAGGATATGGCTGAGATATATCAGGAATTCTCAGGAGAGGCCCAGAATACCCAGACTCAGTAACCCCCAAACATGGCTAGAATATGTCAGGATTTACGGTACCCCAAGTGTGGCCGCATGGCTTGACATGTTTGCTCCTGCTTTGACCCACTTGATCCCACAACTAGACGACCGAGGTTAAACCGTTTGTTGATTTTCTTGCTGAAGGTGCTGACCGCGTGTTCCACACTATGCCAGGGGACCCCAAATGTTTCCAATTCAATTGCCTCCCCAATTATGTTGCCTGTGGAGATCTAGTTCTCAATTTGGCAGCAAAACCTCTCGAAACTGGATGGTTGCAACTACCTTCACCTCCTCCTCCTCTTGGCACTATGAGGGTTTTTGGTGCGGCTTTTCCCCCGATCTGCCCAACCGAGTTGCAGCTCCGATTTGGCCTTTAAGCGGTTTCCATCCACCTGCGAATTGGAGGTGGCAACCCAGGGTGCTAAACAAAAAAACGAAACGTTTTACAAAGGGTATGGTCCTGAAATACCATCAAGAAATTCTGTATCCTACGAAACAGGCTAATTGGAGAGCAGCTGAAAGCAGCCCCCTTGCAGGGGTGCTGAAACGCCCGCTTCATCTCCATCAATCCTCCAAGTGATTGGCACATTCGAAGGGAGGGCACAACAAGGAAACCTGTCGCTTGAAGGGTCCTACATGATCCATCCTCGGCCTCTTGGCCAATTGGCCCCCTTTGCCACCACCGTTTTCGCGCATGGATCCCACCTTCGCCTCCAACTGCTGCGTGAGTCTCTCAGGCTTGGCCCTCGGACCTGACCTTGCTGCAGCTCATAGCCACTTGGACCAGAGGATGGATACACCAAAATAGCAAGTCAAATGGATGAAATATAACTGTTAAAAAAATGCTGATCGGATGGAAAAATCGGACAAATATTGGACACCACCTGAAAATGATTAGATCAATTGGATCTAGCAAATGCCAGGAAAATCTAGGACTCCTAATGACAAGGACCTGGCACAGCGCTTCCAGGCTTCCCCACACCACCGCCTTGGAGGGTTCTGCGTCGAAATGCTGGAAGGCACCCAAGAGCAGTAGAACAACACACCTCGGCACAGGCCTCAGCCGTGGATAGGGTCCCCAATGAGACGCGGTGCAAAAAGAAGGAATGCGCACCTGCAGCCCTGCCAGCCCGAACCCATAGCGATGCATGGGCCGGGGAAGTTGGGGCCATAGAGGCCCGCGAAGCCGAGGTCATCTCCCAAGTAGGGATGGAAAAAGTAAAGTCAAAAACCGTTGAAACCATGAATGTTGACCAGCCAGTACTCCACCCATCAGAGGTTAAATATGATTTGCAAAAGTTTTTTTTACGTAGGGTCCAATGTCCACTTGTCGAAGAGACGTTCTGACATGTTGAACAAACACAGGCATCCATCATTTTAGAGCTTAGATTTGAGCCACTGCGGTAGCTTGAAAGCTTGAAACTGGCTGCGCACATCTGAACATGTTTCCGTAATTTTATAATGTCATATAGTTAGAATACGAGTGCTGCAACACACCTCCACGGGTTTGTCTGAGCATAGAGTACCCCAAACTCCTGCGGTTTATCATCAATCTACCCCTCAAACAATATCAAAAAAAATACATTTTTGGCGCACTCCCTTTTTTGACTTTGTATGCCATATGCCATATACCGCTTTTAACCTCACCATCTTGAGATCACATCCCTTGCCCTTGAAGGTGACATTAAATTTAAATAAATTTAAACGCCCATCAGTATCCCTAACTGGGAGCGTGACCGACCCTACCCTCAATGGTGGAATCGCTTCAAACATCTTCAAACAAATGGTTTCCAAACAACCAACATGAAACGCATGAAGCTACTGGAGCTGAACAAATCGCCCAATCTTTGCCGTCGCAGCCATCAACAGCTACGACTTTTTCCAACGACTTGCCGTCATCTGAAGGCCTGGTGGCGTCGAAAGGCAACCTTCCCTGGAAAAGCACCCAGCTCTGGATCAACAGCACAAGAAATTACGGACCTGTTGTCCACCCCATTTGGTGCATCAAAAAATGATTGTCGAGTTCCCATCCCCATGTCCCATATCCATTCCGGCCTCAGAGAAGGAGCGTTTGACGCCACCTGCGTTCTGCTGCGCAGCTGTGAGGGCTACACGCAGTTCGTTTGTCCCATGGGCGTAGCTGCAGCTGGCGCCACGCGCGCACTGCCCTATCTCGAAGTAGCGACACATCCTCCATAACAAGGGCGTTGGAGTCATGAAACCACAGTGTTGTCAAGGTTTTAATGATTATATGATATATTATGATATGATATATTATTCCTATTCCCCCATCACCCAAATGCTGCATACTCCCAATCAAGGGACACCAAAATGAATAGATCCAAAATTAAACGAATAATCCTGATGGTACCCAATGGTAGGGGAAGGGATTACTCTACAATCAATGTTTAGTTTAGTTTGACACTTCAAGCAACGCCAGTTAGTTGGCAAGTTATGACCCGTGGAAGTAAAGGGCAATTGTGTTGATCTACATTTGATGCAATTAGGCAACAAACCCAAGAATCAGCTACTCTGCTTTAAAGGCCAGCCACTCCACGTGAGTTGGTTCAGAAATGGTCTGAATCCAGCATTTCTAAACTTAAACAAAATCTGTTGTTAAGAACTGGAGGTTCAATCGTAGAATCAAAAGATAACCTCAGTTTTTGACAATATTGCCTAAAATTGCCAAGGGATACGCTTCCCGCAACCATTGCTGGACCATCTGCATTCTGGTATTTTGATGTATTTTGTAACATTCACCACTGCCCACATCCTATCCATCCCCATTCACAACCAATCATCGAGCTCAGGGCATCCCATCCGGTCCCCCACTGGGATGCCCGGACGTCGTTTTATACGCGGGCGCATTGGGACTCATCATGGGGGATGGACCCGACCTCCCCAACGCTGCAGCGATCACCGTGGGGTCGTGAGAGAAGGGGCAAGCATCCTTGGTGCTCCCAGGGTTTGGATGATGCTGGGGCAAAAATCGGGAGGACCCGCGCGCGCACACACACACACACACGCACACGCACATGTATATATTATCTATTGCTTTATTTCTTTATCTATGTATTTATTTATTTATTTATTTATTTATCTACTTATCTATTTATTTACTTAATTTATTCGTATATTATTTATTCATTTAGTGTCTTATTTATGCGTTTATTTATTTATGTGTATTTTGTTTATTTATTCATATTGATATTTATGTTTGTATATTATATATATACTACGTACCATATATGGCACACCATGTATCCTATAATATCATATCCTATCTCATATCACATGCATATATACACTTATAATGTTATAATCACTTAGTATCACTTATACATCTGTGTGTGCGCGTGTGTGTGTGTGTGCGCGCGTGTGTGTGTGTTATATTATATATATATGTGTGACCTACATGGGGTGCACAACATGTTGAGTTTCTCAACGAGTTTCCCATCTGATTTCACTATGTGTGCAACATTTGGGACTGTCCATTTTTTCTAGCTGCTTCAAATAAATCAAGCAAGCCGTGGCTATTGGAACTTTGGACCCATTGGAACCCCAATTCGATATCAGCCACAGGCACTCCATTCTTGCAAAGCCCTGGAGTCTTCAAGTGGAACCTCCAAATGTCAAATGTCAGGTTCCCCCTGGCCCCTTGGTGTTCCACTCTTGTCCAGAAACTCCACTATGATCACACAATCATTACCATTGAAAGAAGGGTACTTCGCAATGACCACAAGTCATTCTGCAAGTCAGACTTACGCTGAAAGCAAGTTGTGTAAATACCAAATGGCCTAGGCCTAAACAGCAGTTATGCGCATTCATATCACCACACAGAATGTGAACGCGTGCGTCGATCTATCTGTCTGTCTGTCCGTCGGCCGGTCGGTCCGTCTCTCGGTCTGTCTGTCTCTCAGTCTGTCTGTCTCTCGGTCTGTCTCTCTCCCTGGGTCTATCTGTCTATCTGTCTGTCTGTCTATCTGTCTATCTATCTAATCTAATCTATCTAATCTAATCTATCTAATCTAATCTAATCTAAGCTAATCTAATCTAATCTAATCTAATCTAATCTATCTATCGTGTGTACATCATGTATTCAAAATAGGTTTCTGTGTGCGTGTGTGCGCAGTATGTATCATTATGTATCACTATATAGAAGTTACGATCAAAAAGGGAAGCATCCCATGCGCCTGCAGGGGATCACCTGCAACAGAACTGGATCGGAAGGGCCCAAGTCGAAATTGTGCACGATATGTCACGGCTACAGTCATTTTAATGAATCCCTACGATGCACAAATTGAAGACATGGTTTCGAAGTTTCAATTGTACCCCGCTATTTTCTTATTGTTGTGATCAGGAAGCCGTGCTTGGTATCGAAAATCAAATCTATTTGAACCGACCGGTCTCTCCCACGGTTTTCCCATCCGAACCCAGCTGGCCCAGCGCCTTGCCACCCTTGACCGGTCCCGGGACCGGTCCCGGTGCCTGACCTAAGGTTCAACCAAAATGGTCTAAAAATGCCAGTTGGATCCACTCGGTCATCCTAACATCTCCCAGTTCTGGTGGATTCCAAGCCTAGGTGCTGTTGGCCGAAGGCTGACTGTCCGACTGAGGCTGAGTGGGCAAGTACCCGCCAAGGGTCGGTGGCCCTGGCCAGAAAAGTGTCTCCAAAGAGATGCCGCAATCGTTTAACAGCAGGCCCCCCAAACGCTCCACATATATGGAACATTACTCTGACATCTCCCCCAAACAATGACCATCACAGCCTAAATTTCAGGGAAATCCACTGCATATGCCCCACCTTTGGGTGCCATTGGCATCCCCTTGCCACCCATCATGGGACCCATGTGTGCGCCCATCATGGGTGCACCCATCATGGGCGGCCGCATGGCCATCCTCGGCAGCTCGGGCTCGGGGCGACGCCGGCTCTCAGCCTCGCGCATCTTCCGTAGAAGGGCCTGGAGGGTGCTTGCGCATCTTGACAGATTTAATTTGAGACAACCTGATAATATCATGATAAGATGATAACAATTGATAACATGTGGGCATACATATATTTGCAAATGTGTGTAGTGATATACCTGCAGACATTATTATGTATGTGTATGTAAAATTTGTAGAAATAGGCTAACAGTCACAACTAACCACAAATCCAGTACACCGCACTAGCGCTATTTCTTGAGCCAATGCAACACATGTTAGAGGTGAAACAGCTATATGTAGACTACTACTGTGCAACAACACCCCCCGTGCAGTGTAACACAGGAAGGTGAAGCTGCAAATTACGCCGTGCACAGTCTAGAGTATAGGGATGCCATTACATATTGAAACAACAATTAACCTAAACCCCGGACAGATGGCCTTCCTTTTGTGTAGTCTTTTCGGTCTTCACCTCAGTGTTGCGTAAGTTGACAAACAAGAGCAAAAAGTGACCATGCATATCCTTTGGCATAACATCAAGTATCAAGGCCAACGGATGCAGTGGACATCAATTCGGTCGAATGCATTCAGCTTTATTTTAAGCTCGACTGGGCTTGCGGTCGAACATGCAAGGTGGAAAGAAAAGGTCTTGGCCCGATACTAGGCCAGCGTTTCCACGCGGCAACAAAGTTCTTGTGGTCGCCCAGGAGCTTGCCAAAGCAAAGCAATCCGAATTATGGCAAAAGCTGAATTCAATGTTGTGTGAACCCGCAGGGAAGCCTTTAGAAATGCTTCAAAGCTGCCTTAACTTCGCAAGGCAAGAGCTTCCGCTCTGCGGTACATGCAACTACCAGCCGTGTGCTATGCAAGAAGGAATCATGGCAAGAATAAGATGAGTGCCAAATGCCTGCTTCAAATTATATGCATGCAAAGCGTTAAAGAAACTTTTGTGAACTTGAATGAGTTGGCAAAAATTCCGACTTAGCACACTTGTGTTGGAAATGATGGTGGAATCGCTCACCCACCTGTGCAAAATGAAGCTAGTCGCCTAACCGAATTAGATTCGAAAAGCCAACAGCTTCCGCTGTGCGACACCTCACATTGAAAGAAAACTACCCCGCCTCAGATGAAGATAAATCCACCAGGCGAGAGGTTCCCCTCCGCGGTGCCTCAGCGGTAGCCCGACCAACGTCGATCCCTGTATTGGTGGCCTTGGTTTCGACGGCGCCAATCTTCCCACCCCTGGTCAGTCCACTGATTGTAGTAGTCGTTCCATTCCTGCTGACTGTAGCCATGAGTGGGCCCCTGATGAGAACCATAGAGAGGACGCGAGGACCTGGTAACATCTGGGTTCTGCTGCTTCGTTGCAGGTAGGGGTCGGCTTCCGCCTTCCGTGTCCTTTGCCTCCGTGAGGGGGCGCAAGATGTCGTCGACATAGCTGAGAATGTCGGCATACACATCCTGCTTGGACAACGCAAGGGATTGGAACGTCGTGTTGGCGACGCTCAAGACCTCAAAACGATCGGCCACAGGGATCAGAGCATAGGCGGCCGCGAACTGGTTGGCTCTGTAAAAGCGGTTCTTGTACCAGATGAGTACATGATCATCCACGATGATTGTCTTCATCTGTTCCTCTTCGTATGCGACCATGCACATACGCGCTTTGTACTGCCGAATCTTTCCAGTTCGGATCTCCTCGCGGGTGCGTTTGATGGAGGGAAGCACCACGTTGCCCAAAACGGTAATCCAATGCATACACCGAGGTGTAAGGTCTTGGACTGCGCAATTGAAGGCGTAGTGGGCGTCCGTTCCCAGACGCTGTAGCAAAGTCAGCCCTGCTTTTCTCGCTTGCTTCATGTATGAGCGGGCGTGATTTTTGAGGACTGCAGCAGCAGATCTGATCTGCTTGGCACCTTGTGTGGTGCCTGCTACATCGTCATCGCCCAGAAGGTCCAACGTCAGCTCGAAGCCCAGCTTCTCGGCCAACTCTTCCAGGCGGAACACCTGACATGCACGACGCATGTCGGACATTGTCGCCAGCGACAAGCCGCATGCGAGGCACACCAACATCCCCTCAGGAAAGATCTTCCTGCACCGGGGGCATGTCAATTCCGGCATTGCCAGCATTGAAACATACCGCCAGCGCGTGAGGTTCCCCTCCGCGGATGGGTCAAATGCCTCCTGATCGAAGCGATCAGAACGGCGTTCCCGCGCGTTGTCAGGGGCGATGTCGAAGCCAGCAGCAGTTGCCGTCGGCTTGCGTGCCACACAGAGGAGATTGGTGAAGTTGAGCGGCCTTTGCTTGATCTTGGGCAGCAACTCATCGACGACAGGATATGGTGTCGGAACTTCCTTGTAAATGAGCGGACGTCGCAGAGTGATGACATCCTTCCACTGATCGTACTCATTCACGAACATGTTCTTCAACACCTCCAGGTCCGAAATCTCGTACCTCTCAAGTTCGTCATAGTTGGGAGTGCCCTTCCGAGCCTCGTTCTCCTGCCAAGTGAGAGCGTTCTCGGAGGCCTTCTGCCGAAGGTACTTCTTCACCCCGTTGTAGCCATGGTTCGCCCAAAGGTATTGCGACTTCTCGCAATCGAATGCGTAGATGAGGCAATGATTGGGCACCCAGTCCTCAGTGATGAGTGCACCGGCCAAGGTTTCCACCAGGCGAAGACCATAGTGCAAAGCACAATCGGTGTCGATCGCGATGCAGCGGTCGGTTCGTCCTGACACCAGGATCCTTGCCTTCGATTTCCCAAGGCGCATGGCGGGTCATATACACATGACCCTTGCATGAAGTGGCCCCCGGAAAAATTCCCGTGCAAATGATCTGCTGGAGGGAGTCCCATGAAGTGTAATGGTAAATAACCTTAAACTCTTCTGAGACCTCGGCTTCCGCCAGGTGAAGATAAATGGGGACCCTTGGATAGAATCCCTTCTTCAAGTCCTCGACCGTGAACTGGTAGTCAAGCGAGATGATTTGCTTGACCAATGGAGCCGTTCCCACCTTGTCGATGAGGGACTGGTCATGACCTTGGCACGCCTTCACATGCGTGATGCGATACGGCATGTCCATGGTTGTCAGTTCCCCGACAATTCCAGCCTGAATGCGGCACATGAACCTGTCCTGAGTTCGAAGGATCAGGTACAGGTCCTGTCGCGAAAGCTGAGCACGATGCCGCTTTCGGAGGTACATGTACATGGACTCAAAGTTCAAGTACAGCTCCTCATCAAATTCAGGAGGAATATGGCGATGGTGCGTCTCGAGGAACTTGTGGTCATAGCCACGCAGCAGCCCGGTCACCCTCTTCGAAAATTTGAAATCATCGTGACCGAGTCTTCCAAGGTCCCTCAGGCCTGGCAGGTCAGTACACCGGATGGTGAATTCCCTGCGCTCACCCGCTCCCGGGGAGAAAAAGTACCACTTGGGATATCCATGTGGTCGCAAGGGCGGTTCAGCCGGAGGCTGAGGTCCACCCGTTCCCGGGGGAGGAGCACTTGCCATAGGCGGCTCCTTCTTGGCCATCTTCGGGGCAGGCTCCGACGAAGACGTAGCTGCAGGCGCCGATGACTTCTGCGGAGGTGCCCTCGGTGAGGTTGTTGTCAACGTTGCAGGCGGTGCCTTAAAGGGCAAAACTTTGGGCATAGGATGGTCCGCAGCTTCCGCTGGGAGTGCAGGTGGCTCCGGCTTGGGGGATCCAGTTGCACTCTTCGGAGTCGGTGGCGGACTGGGCTTTGGGGACGCCATGGGAGACGTTCCCGTCGCCGTTGAGACCTTTGGGAGCCGCGGAGCAGGCTTTGGCTGAATCATGGTAGCCTGATCCCTCATCTTGGGTTTGATGAACTGGCTGACAGTGTCCCCGATCACCTGTGCGATGCCGGCCGAAGATGATGCCGCTTCGGATGAGGAAGCCGCCTTCGACTTGGCCTTCGACACGATCTGAACAGTGGCAGCAGGGTCACCCGCGCGAAGCTTCTCTTCGGCGGTCTTGGGCTCCTCAAAGATCTCCCTTTCCATCTGACGATGCTTCTCCTCATCCGTCAAGTCAAAGCGACGAATGATGACCGCACCATCTTCAGTCTGCTGCATGGATTCCTGCCGAAGTTCGAGCTTGGCAGGGTCACGTGTGACGTCGGTGTCCAAGATGTTCACTACGCCAGAACCATCCAATCTGAAGTCCACAGCATGGATCTTGTTCATCAGATGGGAGCGCAGCTTCCGCTGGCTAAACATTGAAGCTGAGCCGCCGACAATGGGTTCTCTGAAGACAATCTCCTCGTCAGCGTCCGGCTCGTCAATGTCACGCTCGTCGGAAACACCAGGCAACCGATCCAAAAAGGGCTTGAGGATGGCGTCAATGAGCTCACCATCCATCTCCGGCTCTTTGATCTCATGTGGTTCAAAGTGCTCGGGTTCCCCCGGCAGTGCAGCGTCCACGGACTCCAAAAGCTGCCAGTTCGATGAGGCCACAGTGGCATCATCCTGCACCGTAGGAGCCTGCGCGACTTGTGCACGTGCGGGGTCAACTTTGTTGGGAAGCCGTTGCCCTTTGGGTCGGGTCTCCTTCACATAGATCTCCCAACCGTCCACGTCCATGGAAACCAACACCTCTTCCATCTCTTCCCATTCAGGATTGTTTTCAGGTTGAGGGTTGGCCAGCGATTCCTCGCGGCGCTTCTTCATCTCAGCCATCTCAATCAATGGCTTGCACGACCGAAGTCGAAAGAGATGATAACCAAGAGCACCTGCTTCGGAATAGAACCTGATGCACTGGAATCGGTTATGCTCCGAATTCTCCATATGCTGGCCGTCATATCGTGTGGTACATTTGATAAGCGACGTGGCATCGAGGACGCAGAGTCCACGTTTCCTCAAAGCCTCAGCTTCGCGAATCATCTGACGGTCATAGTCGGGGTGCAACCCATACCCCCTGCCGTACCATGGCATGATAAGGACGATGTTCCCAACGTCGGCACGTGTCGTCAGCTTCACGAGGTCGTTGAGAGCGGAGAAATGGGTGTTGACCCTTTCCTCCA